GCAATCGTGACTTTTGCTCAGAAGGGATTACAGGGCTCAGGCCTACTTCTCCGCTATTGTGCATCCCCCCGGCTGAACTATTAGCTGCGCCTCCTCCCCCCAGAATCCGATGTCTCCCTGGCAGCCGCCGAGCGATATGACGCCGCCATTATTATGGCATTCAAGCGCATGTTCCGCTTTCCCGGCGACTTCCCCGACTCGGTTTCCGCACAAGTGCAGCTACCCATTCGGCTGGGAGGGTTTGGCCTTGTCTCCGCATCCACGATTGCCCGTGCGGCTTTTCTGGGCTCGATCGGTGTGACGGCTTTTGACGTCTCTAGCCGGTTCCGAGGAGCACCGTGGATGCCTCAAGGTGGGCCCGCTGCTCTTTTGGATCTGCCATGGCTTCGAGCGGCAGTCCCCGCCCTCGCTGCCATCTCTGAGGTGGTCGGCCCCTCCTTCTCCCTCCCCTCCCTCCAAGACTTTCTCTCGAGACCGCAGGTTCGGCTACAGCAGCGCCTGACCGATCAACTGCACAAGTTCCGCTTCAACGAGCTCTTCAAGTCCCTCCCCCCCGACAGCAGAGCCCGCGCCCGTCTTCTGAGCTGCCAACGGCCTCTTTCGTCTGGTTGGCTGTCAGCAATCCCTTCCAGCGATAGCAAGACACTGAACAACTTCCAGTATCGCCACGCCGTCGCCGGGTGTCTCGGCATTGCCCTCCCGCACGCAACCGTCTCGCAGCGATGCATCTGCGGCGGGGAGGTGGACAACTTTGGCGATCACTTCTACGTGTGTCACACGGGCCGTGAGCGAGTCACGAGACACAACAACATGCACAACTTCTTTGTTCGCATCCTGGCTGAAGCAGATGTTCCCTCCAATGTGGAGGTGTCTCTGCACAGCCTCGGCATCACCCCGCCTGATGACAACCCCAACAACCAGCGCATGGACATCTATTGTGTGATCGACGGCAGTGATTACCTGCTCGACGTCACCGTCGCCCACCCTTGCCGCCCTGACAACTCCCCCATCCCCTTCCACCGAACAGTCAACCGGCGTGGTGCGCAGCTCCCAGGTGGCAAGGCGGCTCAGCTTGCGGAGAAAGACAAGATCGACAAGTATGGACCAATCACCCAAGCGGCCGGCTTCCGCTTCGTGCCCCTCGCTGCGGAGACATTCGGCAGATTCGGAGACAAGACCATGGATTTTCTCAAGATGCTCGCCAAACGAAAGCCTCGCCTTACATCCATTCCCATGGAGGAGTACACAGCTTTCCGAGAGAGCATCGTCAACCACTGGAGCCAGCTCCTGTCCGTCGAGCTGATGAAGCACAACGCGTTTCAAGTGGCGAGTCGTGCGCAGCGCGCGGCGGCCGCCAGAGGGCCACGGAGGGCCAGCGCGTTTCCGGAGGACTTCGTCAGCCGCGGGCCATACAGGCCCCACACCAGTCCCGCTGCGGGGCTGTAAGGTGGCTGGCTGGACCTGCGTTCTGAATGTGCGTGTCATGTTGCATGTCTCGCGCTTGTTTGCAGTGTGCGACATGTTTTTTGCAGTCAACGAGCGCTGTCCGTTGTTTCTGCATGTATTGTTTCGCCTCATTTGCTTGATACGAACTGATGCTTAGACGAACTTCGTCGCCCGTTTCATGCATCTACTTAACCTGATTCACACTGGGGCGGTGTGTATGTTCGGGGAGATCGAGGAGAAACGCATGGGGTTTCTCATCCTTTTGAGGGTTTGTTCACACGGTATCTTCTGTTTGTCTCAATCTTCCCCCTTCCCCCCATCATTTATCGTAAGCGTGGCAGGTCTGCAAAAAAGACTGCCGCTTGGGACGTGCGCGACACCATAATGAAAAAAGGCAGGCACAGGGCGTGGCAGGTAGGAAAAGGCGAGTGGAAGGGAGGCGTGAAGAGAAGCACGAAGGGAGACAGACTGAGATAGACGGCCAAGAAAGACACAATATGAATGGTACACCACCGGTATCTACTGGTGCGACACAAGCAAGGGCGAGGAGCGACGGACCGGCTCCAACAGACCTTTAGCCCCCCGCTTGAATTCAGACATCTCTCGCACTTCTATCCTTCAGACCCATATTTAGCTGACCCGCTCAACATGCCCTGTACGCTGTATACACTCACTGCATTGCCATCCGTTGCTACAGGGTGGCATGAAATGACACACGGACGGTGAACACAGAAGAAACATGACACTGAGGGACATTTCCCCTCGTTGCAATTGCCTCGTTGCTGATGTCAGCATCTCTCCCATGTTCCAGAATTGAAGCAGCATAGGGGTTTACCACACTCTGCTTCAAAATGGGTAGTTTCCCTCCAGAAAAAAGTTCAGAAAGAAAACACGTGAAAGATAGGAGAGAATGGTGATGAAAGTGAATGAACTGGTGTTCAATGCATATGTTGTTTGGCAAAGCCATTTCATGCTCCAGTGTGGCCACCCAGGCCCTCTGGAGGTCTGCATAGTGTCCGTCGTTCAAACTCAAAGCAGTCACACACTACCACTGGACACCGCTCCATCAGGGAGACCGCCCGGGAGCAGCAGGGCGTCAAGTGGCCTTGCAGTGGAGAACACCGGCGTGGATGGAACCTCCCGCGAACGGGGTCGACGAACGGCTACGAGGGGGGCCCCTCCCCCCTCGTAACGGAAGGCGATCGGAAAGGGACACCTTACAAAATGTCCGGGATCGAGAGATCACTTATGCAGTTGTAAAACGTGTCGGGACGGCCGCTCTCACTGACCTCAGCCAGGTGTTCACTGCGTTTTTTCGCTCGCGTACGCGGGCATACGCTCATGATTATATACTTGTCTGAGCTCGCAGGGCCCCGAGCCCTTTTTCTCCTTACTATGACGGCTGCTCGGGCCACACCTGCCAGCATCATATCCAGCTCGGGCAGCTCTGCAGAATGAGTACAGAATCGACCCCAGTCTCAGCAGACTCAGCCTATCCGCCCCCGCCGTCTCAGGAGGGTCTCTGCAGTGGTGGGAGCCGATGCCTCGCCCTTGCAGCCAGCCGCTGGTCCTGTGCGGTGTTGCCCATGCAACAAGAACCGGAACAAGACCACTGGATCGAGATGCAAGAGGAAGGGGAAACAGCTGGGCTGCCCCTGTTTCGAGAAAGGCAAGAAGTGCACCAACTGCCATTCCTGTGACCTAGGCATATGCGAGAATCGAGAGCCTGACGACAATAACTCCACTGCCGAGGATTCGAACTCCCCCTCTATTCATCCTCGTTGCTTCCACTCGGATGAGTCTTCACTACGAGGCGGATCCGCGTCGTATGTCCCTCCCCAGTGTGCCAGCTGCCACATTCGCCCGGCGTCCTCGAGCAAGGGCATCTGCTACGTTTGCCTCGGCACCAGTGCCGAGCCTCCCCACCGCCCGCCTCCTGGCATACCCCTCGCTCCCCCTGCTGGCCCTCCGACGTCTTCTTTCGTCCAGGAGAAGATGCACGAGGCCTTCGGAGCCACCGACTTCAATTAGCAGAGCGGCCTCATGGACACCGACTGGCAGGGCTGGCACGCCCGCCTCGGCCCGCTGCGAGGGTGCCTTTGGGATCCACCGGGTGCTTCGACGAAGCGGATGGCCCGGCTGCTCGCCACCGAGGCTCGTCGCTGGCGTGAGGAGCAGCTGGCGACTGAGCGCATCCTCATCTGCGCGTGCACGATTCTCTATCGGGCGCCAGATGTCACTGGCAGCAAGGACATCGCCAAGACGGTGGAGCGGCGGATGGACCAATGGGAGAAGGGCGACTTCGAGCAGCTCGTGCAGGAGGCTGAGCGGAACAACGCCCTCCTGGCCACCAGGCCTGTCGGCAAGGACGACGCCAACGAGGCCACTCTGCGCCAATTCCGTCGCCTGGTCGACAAGGACAAGGTCAGGCAGGCCGTCCGTTCCTGACCGAGCGGGGAGGGGGAGGCACCCTGGACCCCAACGACCTGGCTGAGGCCGACCCTGTGGGCCGCACCGTTCGGGAGGTCCTCGAGTCGAAGGACCCTGCCCAGAGTGACCCTGACCCGTCCTGCTTCCTCGACCGTCCCCTCCGTCTGCTCACCCAGGTCGAGATCACCCCCAACCACATCGAGCGGGCGGCACGGGCAACGAAGGGAGGCGCCGGACCAGTTGGTGGCGAGTCATCGGTGTGGAAGCAACTTCTTCTCAAGGGTGGCGCGGCAAGTGCGGAGCTGCGCAGTGTGTTAGCGGCCATGGCCTCCACATCGCTAACGAGGACGTGCCCTGGGAGCGGCTGCAGGCCCTGCGCGCATGTCGGCTTATCGGTCTGGACAAGCAACCGGGTGTGCGGCCGATCGGTATCGGGGAGGTCCTGATGCACATCATGGGCAAGGCGATGGCCAAGGCAGTCGGGGTGGATGCGGAGATTGTGTGCGGTGGGACCAGCTGTGTGCCGGGCTCAAGGGGGGCGTGGAGGGTGCCATTCATGCGGTGTCCGGCGAGTTCGACTGGGTGGCGTGGAGTGCGCGATCCTGGTGGATGCGACGAACGCCTTCAACACGATGAATCGCCCTGCCGCCCTGTGGAACGTCCGCATTCTGTGGCCGCGGTGCTCTCGCTTCCTGTTCAACACCTATCGCGGCCATGCGGCCTTCTACATGTGCGACCAATCCGCGCCACTGTGGAGCCGAGAAGGGACCACATAAGGCGACCCCTTGGCCTCCCTCTTCTACTCTGTGGCCACCCTTCCGCTCGTGTGGGAGATGAAGCGGCCAGCAGATGAGGGCCCTCAGGCATGGTTTGCCGACGTCTCCGCCAAGGTGGGAGGCCTCCAGCCGGTGCGCGAGTGGTGGGATGAGCTGCAGCGAAGAGGGCCACTGAGGGGCTACCACCCCAACGCCAAGAAGACCAAGCTGGTGGTGCGGGCGGGTTGCAAGGAGCGGGCGCGGGAGGTGTTTGGCGATACCGACGTGGAGATTGTGAGTGGTGCTCGATATATGGGGGGGTTTGTGGGGACCGCGGAGGGCAAGCGGGCCTACGCCGCCGAGAGGGTGCAGGAGTGGCAGCGGTGTGTCAACCGGATGGCGGACGCAGCGGCCAAGTACCCGCAGGCAGCCCACACAGCACTCACAACGTCTCTGCAGGCCGAGTGGGATTTCTTCATGCGGGTAATGCCTGAGGACGCGTTTTTTCGCGCAAACTAACACTACTTTTCTATCGGCAGATGCTCCCCGACGTAGTGGCTTCAGGGGGGTGACCTGCTGCCTCCCCTCATGTATCCATATCGGATTCCTCATCAGATTTCACATCCATCCTTCGGTAAGAGGAACTCTTGCGTGACCAGTGACAGATTGTCACTGGTGTGTGCTTGCTTGCAGGCAGGTTCTTGTGAGCACATCTGCCACATTCTCAGCGGATGGGATCCAACCAACCTCCACTTCGCCCGCCTCGACCTTCTCACGCACCAGGTGATACCTGACACGGATGGCCTTGGTCCTATCAGACATCTCTGTGTTGTAGGAGACTGACTGTGCTCCTCTGTTGTCCACCAGGATTGTCGTTCTCTCCGAGTCGGTGCTGAATGCCTGCTGCTGGATATGAACAATCTCACATGCACACTCGCCGCGACGATTGGCTGGTTCTTGCACCGCCAGGCGACGGGATTGCCGCACAGGTAGATCACGTAGCCTCCCGTGCTCCTGCCATTCTCCAGGTCAGCATGGCTGGAATCAGCGTAGGCGAGGATCTTCACGCTCTTGTCTGCTGGTCTTCTGAAGGTCAACGCTCTTGTCGCTGTCTCCCTGAGGTACCGGATGATGCGCTTGACAGCTTCCCAATGGCGCTTGCCGGCACAGTTGTAGCACATGGCGCAGTCCTTGACTGCGTAGGCGATGTCGGGTCTGAGCGTCACTGTGGAGTACAGTAAGCTGCCGACGGCGTCGCGATATGGCACTTTGCTCATGTGGTCGTGCTGCTCCTTTGTTGTAGGTTCCATCGTTTTGGAGAGCTTGACACCAGACGGCAAGGGCGTCTTCGCACCTTGACAAGGTATCTGTTCCCTTCGATCACACACGTTGAACCTCTCGATGAGCTTCTGCACGTACTCCTCTTGTGAGAGTGCCAGGATGCCTTCTTCTTTGTCGTAGGTGACCTTCATGCCCAGGAACCTATCGGGATGTCCGAGGTCCTTGATGCCGAACTTGCCGTGCATCTGTTGCTTGAACCACTCGGCGTCAGCCTCTCGGCCCACTGCAGGTGAGTAGAGCATGTTGTCTACAACAACCACCACCCATAAGCCCCTCTCGTCATCTGTGAAGATGCACGAGTCGACGTCGACGCTGCTCTGTGTGAATCCGATGCTTCTCAGGTAGTCGACCAGAGTCACGTGCTAGGCCCTCGGTGCTTCTTTGAGACCGTAGAGAGCTTTCTTAAGCATCCACACCATGCCGGGCTTCTCGTATCCGTCAGGGCAGTTCATGAAGACACGTCGGTCTAGAGGGGAGTTGAGGAACGCCACATTAACATCGCATTAATGCAGCGACTACCAGCTAAGAGAACCAAGACAAGGAAGACACGCATAGCGACTTGCGACAGTGTGGGTGAGAAGGTCTGTGTGACTTCCTTTGGGTCTTGTGCGTATCCCTTGATCACGATACGTGCCTTGAAGACCCACTTGCCGGGCAGTATCTTCCCCGTTGCTTGTGAATGTGGTACGTACACATAGACACCTTTCTCATCCATCGATGTCATTTCTTTGTCGCTTGCTTTCTGCCATTCCTTCCTGTCTTTGCAGGTCATGGCCTCTTTGTGCGTTCGCGGCTCATCTCCAACCAATGAAGAGATACACGCCGTCGTCATCATCTGTAACGTAGGCAACCGCTCTCTCGTTGATTTTGCCAGACAGAAAGCACATGTCTTTGCCTTTGCGTCTTTGTTTGCGTGCAGGCCCATGGGCGTATTGAGTGGTCCATGTGTCGACCGCTTCCTCAACGACACCGAAGAGGCACCAGATGCGCTCTTTGAGCACCGATCTCTCTGCCGTTCGCTTTCAGGGTCCGCATGGGCAGAAATGAAGTCGCGTCCAATTTGTGTCTTCCATTGGCGCTTACAACCAGATCTACGAGGACCTTCTGGGTCTTTGTTGATTAGATTTCCTTCCACATCAACAGCCAAGTCGTTGGTTCAAACCCGTGTGCATGCCCTCATCGTGCGCCTGACCGTCCATCTGCTCACTCTCATGACTCTCATGGGGATGTGGTGCTTGATCGAGTTCGTGCTCGTCAGCTCCCTGCATGAGTGGCCCTTCAGGGGCTAGTTGTGGCAGTTGCGGTGCGTCAAAGGCGTCTTCATCGATGGGCTGCTGGTCTTGCGGTTGAGCGTCTTGTGCTCCTTGGGCGTCTGGCGTTTCGTGAGCGTCCTGCCCATGTGTGTCGCCATTTCCTTCCCCCTCTCGAACCGGTAGGAAGTATGGATTGACATCCTTCTGTAGATTGAACATGTGCAAAGAAGGTGGCTGTGTTTGTGACCTTTATTTGTCTTTTCGACGGTATCCAGAAGAGGTATCCGTCTTTTCATCTGTGGATGATAAGCAACGAAGATCGCTGCGTCACACTTGGGACTGAACTTCGTGGCTCGCTGATGCTTCCGCACAAACGGGTAGGCTAAACATCCAAACACACGCAGTTTGCGCTGGTCAGGTTTGAAGTCCTTTTACATCTCATATGGTGTTTTATTCCCTTTGTTGCTTCTGCAGGGACAGCGATTGCGCACATAGGCGGCTGCTTGCACAGCCCACGGCCAGAAGCCCCTCGGCAGATTCGCCGTTACGAGCATCGATGTTGCCGTGTTGTTCAGCGTCTGTATCATCCTCTCAGCCACGCCATTCTGCTCATGGACGTGCGGGACGCTGAATTGCTTGGCGATTCCGAACTGGGCGGCAGCATGCAGCAGATTGCCTTTTACCAGCTCTTTGGCTCAGTCACATCTCAGCTCTTCGATGTGTCTGACCTTCGCGATGTATCGTTTCAGGCCTGTGCCTGCATCGCATCGACGCTTGAGAGAGATCACAGGGACACGACGAGAGTACTCGTCCACGAAGACCATATAGTATTGATAGCCATCGAGAACCGACCTTCGATGTGGTCCGGAGATGTCGCAATGCACTAGTTGACGCTTGCGTGTCGCCCCAGTGCGTGGTTCATTGTGCGGATTCTCTGTCATTTTACCCTTCTGGCACCCAACGGATTTGCAGTCGGATGGAGGGATGTCGAACACACGCAGCCCTTCACCGAGGTCTTTTCTCAGCAGATCCATGTCACGGTGATTGAGGCGTGCTAGTCGCTTGTGTTGCCGGTCCGCCGCTCCTCGCCCTTGCTTGTGTCGCGCCATAGTTTTTTTTAACACGTCGTCAGCTTTCTTGTGCCTTCACCGGTGTAGCATTCATATTGTGTCTTCCTTGGCCGTCCCTCCCTCTATCCCAGTCTGTCTCCCTTCATGCTTCTCTTCACGCCTCCCTTCCAATCGCCCTTTCCTGCCTGCCACGCCCTGTGCCTGCCTTTTTTATTTTGGTGTCACGCACGTCGGTGTCGCGCACGTCCCAAGTGGCAGGGCTTTTTGCTGACAAATGATGGGGGGGAGGGGGAAGATCGAGACGAACAGAGGCTGACGTGTGAAAAAACCCGAAAAGGCATGAGAAACCCCATGCGTTTCTCCTCGATACTGCAAGCTCAAAATTTTGTCCGCCGTGTGGTTGATGACTGCAGGCGGAGAGTTCCATGAACAATCAGCATCCCTCTGAACAAAACCCGGGCTAGTGTGTAGAGCTATAAAAGAGAATTGCTCACGACGAGCGACAAAGTAATGGTGTCTAGTGGAAGCTTCATCGCCTGGCTCCAGCAACCTCCGCACCTGACATAGACAACCGGCGCAAGAATGGCGCGTGCCGCCACCGCGCAGCGAGAGACGACGGATAGTCGCCTCCCGGGCACCTGCGTGTCGTGGGACAACACAGGGGGCGCTGCCGGGCTGGGAGGGTGGGAGAAAAGCGATAAGCTGATCCAGCCACGCAGAAGCAAGACGCCCGCAGCTCGCCCCCACGCGATCCCTGAACCCGCAAGCGAGCGGGCAACGACAGCGACGAACGACGCAACACGGCGTGTATGCTGCGGTGCCTCCGCCAGCCCATGTCAACGCACACAACAGTGTGCTCCTGACTGAATTCATTATCACGTGAGACGGACTTTTTCTCATGATAAAACACACTTCTTGCAGTGAAGTCCTTCTGCGAAAGAAAAAAAGACGCGAGCACAAAACACTTCGCCATTCCATCAGTCGAGTTACACAAGTCGAGTTACATAAGTGTGCTTGCTTGTCAGTCAATCAATGAATTGATTCCATTCATTCATTCAGTGAATCACTGCATCACTACAGACAACGCTCCTCGGTTGCTTCGCTTGGGAGACGGCCGTGATCCTGGCCTGACTGGCCACGAGGTGGCCGGCCATGGATGTCTCACATCACCCATACATGGTCAATATAGCCGGCCACCCTACAGAGAAACACCCACCCACCTCTCCCGTCGGCTCTTCCGCCGGAAGAGCCGACGGGAGAGGTATACGTAGATACCGCCCATCCCCAGGTGGCCAGCCAGTGCAGATCGCCCAGTCACACACAAACACGCCCTTATAACAACCACGCACAGAGTGCTGGGGGTGTATGAGAGCGCGCCGCCGCCCCACTCCCCATGGCGGAGAGGGGCGGCAGGCGGCCGACCCGTAGACCCCCCCAGTGCACGCCCATACACATATCACCGCTGGGATAAGGATACCACAGACAACGTGATTTGCGAGCTTTTGTGTTTATATTTACCTCATCCGTCATGAGTGTTGAAGAAACGTGAGTAGCTTCAGCGGGTCAAGAGTTAAGAGCCAGGCTTGACAAACAGCACAAACACGTCCGAAGACGCCAGGTGTGTGTGAGGCGATCGTATAGGGTTCCTAGCTCCAAACCCTCGGGTGTACGCGGCACTTTTAATTTGTCTGGGCTAGGGTACGACTTCCTCTTAGCTCTTGCGAGCTGCGGGCGTATCATTTCCTCAACACCCCTCTTCGCACGCAGCCCACCCCTCTCACTATCACGTAAGAGAGAGCACGAACACTCACTGCAGATCTCCAGCTTTCCAGAAGCGTTGACCCACCGGGCCCTGCTATTTGCAGTTGAGATTCTGCTGTCTGCAGGCAGCACTGCCACACATTCCGAGTTGCACATCTCTGCTGATGCGCAGCGGGGATCATGCACAGCGTCGGCCTCTTCGTGCTCAAGAGTCAAGGCCGTGTGCGCGAAAGAAGGAC